AAGAATATATCACATACTTAAAATGAAATACATTAATAAACTTTAAGAATTTCTCATTTATTCCTATTGATATAGTTGTATTTTCCGTTCGTGTTATAATCGTTTACAATAAATGATTAATAAATAAATAAATAATCATTTATATGCATTTTGACAGAACAGAGATGTAAAACTGCTTGCATTTCCCAAACGATAATGGATATTGCGTATGAAATACGTTACAAACCATGAGCATTGAAAATTTGCGATTAGATTTTGTAAGGGACAGGCTTTGTAAATTACAAGCTTATAATTTGTGTCGTTTATCTGTTGTGTACTTATCTAAGAACACTTCTTTAGATGACTGAATGCTTTCTATTACAGATGAAAACGTGATTTGGTAGGGGAGGAATACATACAATAAATTGATTATTTAATTAAAAGGTAGCTAAGAACAATGATACCGAAATCAATTATCGTGAATCCGTGCCGCAGCGTCGCAAAAATTCCATCCAATTCAATTCAAAAGACAAGTTTCTAGTATTAATGTAGAAGGCCGGATGACTGAGACGGGGCTTCGGCCTTGTCACTCTGGGAGAACCAGGAATCTGGGTGGTCGGAAAACCCCGGGATTTTCTTTAACTATTTTACTATTACCATTTTTGTATGATTTTGTTTATTTTAGTTTATTAAATTTTTCGTTATTTGTTAAAGAAATGTCTCTTGATAATTCTCTGAATCAAATCCATATCATATCCATCCGCGTGTAAAATAACTGATTAACTGGTGTCAGGTTCCTGACGTAGATCTAGAATTAATCCTCTAGATCGTTCTTAAACTTAATTTACCGCCCTCCTATAAAAAGTTAGTGAGCCTATCTCACGATCGTGTGCCCGTAAGCGGCGTGAACTTATTCTACGTCCCTGGCTTCTCACATTCTGGTTTTCAGGAGTGGGTCTAGAACTTAAAATCCCGTAGAAGAATCACATTCTGGTGTAGCAAAAGTGGAGTTTCGATCCGATTTGATTCAGATTGAGAGACAAAATAGTCGATAATTGTGATTTAGTTGATTTGATTCGAATCTTAGAGAAGTGGTTAAGTTGATTCATTTTAAGTTAATAATAAGAGTAGAAATAAGTTAAGATAATGGATAGAGATAGGGAAGAACCTCCGCGAGCTACGTTAGCGGGTAATCCAATAACGTTAGGCGGTTTAGGGGGAATGATTCCATTATTACCTACATTTTCTGGGGATATAAAAGGTCCAAAAATATCCGAATTCTTTAATGCGTTGGCGGATGTGACTAGAGTAGCAGCATGGTCGAAGGCGCAGATGCTGGCCGTTGCCAGACTGAAGTTAGTAGGCATAGCAAGAGAATTTGCGAGAAAAGATAGAAGAATACGAGAGGTAGAAGATTACGACGAGTTCAAGAAAATAATGTTGGATCGTTTCGAAAAGATTCCATATACATATAGACTACAAAAATTTTATGATTGCGTACAGACCATAGACATAGATGTGCAAACCTACGCGACTAGGTTGCAATCATTAGCAGAGGAGGTAGAGATAGAACATTAAGGGGCGAACGACGCTGAAATAGCGGTAATTCGGAGAGTCAAAGAAAAAGAACTCGATGAGAGGTTGAAGATTCAATTTTTAAATGGGGTTGACATTAAGATTAGAAAACGAGTAATGTCACGCGAACCCGAGACGTTTGACCCGGCTTTAAAAATTGCGATTAGCGAGGAAAATATAGAACTCTTAACTTCTCATCCTAGAGGCCTTTTAAAAGTAATAAAAGATTAAGATAATGGATAGAGATAGGGAAGAACCTCCGTAATAAAGCCAAACTATCGGACAACCTACGTGAATACCGCAGGTTGTCCGATAGTTTGGCTTTATTACGAAAATCGGATCGTATTAAAGAGATAAATTACGTGATACGAAACATAACGTCATTGCTGTATCACGTGACGGCTCCAAACTCCATTATATATGCACCCCAGATGCAAATTTCAGCGAATTTTTTCCTATAGAAAAACTTTGGAACTAAATTTTTTATTTACAAAATTAAAATTTCATGATCAAAAGAATGAGCGTCAAATTTGATTTCTTTTAACTGTCCGCCCCGTGAGACAAACTCGATATCCGTGAAAATCACTCTCTTTAGAAAGACAGACACGGAAATGACGAAATTCACCGCAAAATCCAAAATTTTAACATTAAATCGAGTCACTATGTAACAATAAAATTTTCTCGTTGTTGAGAGAGAATCTATTGTTGACTCGTGCGATTGTTTAATGCGAGTTCTTTTTCTAGTTTTGCTTCGTTTGCAGAGATTGTTTAAAGTAATGTAAGTTTACACAATGATCTTTGTAGATTTAAATACTCTAACTTTGATCAGAAAAATATCATGGTTGGCGGCGATGGGTTTCGAAAAGAATTGATCGGTTTCCTTCGGAGGATTCGCATTGTTCCATTGTTAAAGCAAAATAAAAATTAATAAATAGCCTACTTTAAAATCTGTTATTCCCCGCTATAGTTTATAAATTACATATATATATATATATATATTAAGACTGAAAAGGGACCTAAAATGTTATTGTAAAATATTATCATAATACATAGATTTATGCTACAAATTGTGTCTCAAGGTCATTCTGTTCCATGTTTAATTAATCCAGTGTGATAAGTCTGTCTTTGGGNAATATTATTTTCTAACAGGAATTAATCATTTTTGCATTAGAAATTTACAATTCAGATTAGAATAGGAATATTTCTCAATTAGTTCTGTTTTCACAACATTCTCTCATTTTCCTTTGCAGAATGGAGAATTTCAGAGAGTTGAAGAAGTTGCACATCTCGGACAATGCAGAGTCCGAGGATGACGCCTGGTCTTGGCCAGGTGTCATAAGGGTGCTTCCGAAAGATGAGGAGGAGAAGTGTCATACACCGGACATCAAACGGGTGGTAGTCGTAACTCCGGACGACACCGCCTCGTCTCTCGTCCAATACCTGGAGCAGCGATATCCGGAAGTTCCGGAATGGACGGTGGAGACACAGTCGGGTGAGACCGGAGTGGACAGAAAGGAGTCCGAAGAAATGGTGGAAGAGTCGGTCGAGCGTAAAAGGCCTTGGTGGAAAAGGTTGCTTTGCTGCTGGAAGATTTAAACCTCTTCTCTGGCCAGGCCTTCTTGCGCAGATTTCGACTTTCCACCGAATGCAACATCGCCACTCGGAAGTGTCCTTTCACCCGAATATGACACTCACCAGGAATTGACCTTTCACCCGGCTACGACTTAATCGACTTTCCATCCCATTTTACGGACAGATACTTCGACACCATTCGAGATTCGGTTAAAGTGCATAGAACAACGACAGTGACAACGAAATATCAAGCAGTGTTCTCGTGTTTAATTAAAGACTGTTTAAACGACTAAAACTGGCCAAAACAACTTATATTCTATAGACATTTAAACTGTATTTCATCCGGTGTTCTACTGCTAAAAACTTTCACCGCGAAATAACGAATATTCGCCACTAAAAGGCATACCAGACGAATTTAAATAAACCAAAAAATACACGTACTCGGTTTGTGTACTCCAGAATTATAATTACTTCAACAATTAAATTTGTACATAAATTTTTATATTTAATAAAACTAATTAAATTTTATATTAAATGTTTACAGATTCGATATTTATTAAAGTTGCGCATTTTTTGATGAATTTGTAATTAATAATAATGTTTATAACAGTTATGACGGATGACGAAAACAGAAAAAATGTACCCGATTCATAACGAAACAAAAATATTTAAATTTAATGAGCCAAATGTAATTTTCAAGAGAAAAATTGGAATCCATGTTATAAATAGTTCATACAAGAGTGACAGCTTAGAAGTGTCTCTATTGAAACCGTTCTGGAAGTACAGATGCCAAAAATCGGTTTCGTGTCAGGCGAAAGTTACCATTGAGCCGACGTTGTATATAGATATGGCAGTTATTTCATTAATTAAACATCCAAATTAAAAACAAAACAAAAAATTAAATTATTCAGAAGTATAGCAAACGAAAATACTTCATTATTCTAATGTAATAATTTATTCAGAGTAGAAAAAATAAGATCGAATTTTTTCAATCTTAGGCTATTGTTAAGGCGAATTCTTTCCGGCCAGCCCAACTCAGCAAGTTGCCCATTCAGATGCATGTTCCGACATAACTATGGTTTTTAACTTAGCTAGACCTAAAGCTTTGAAGGATAGAAACTATTAGGCATTTTTTGAGCGCTCGTAGTCCGACAGCAGGCTGGTAGAAGCGTTTAAGTTTCATCCTACCGCACTAGGAAACCCGAAATTGAATCTGGTTAGTCGAAAAATCACAGAAATTTTTTGGGAGTGGAATTTTTGACTTATCCGAACCAATAATAAGCTTGAAAAAAAAGGTCATCTTAGAGCGATATAGAGCAAGAAGAGTTTAAAAATGCTCAGATTGGAAATCAGACGGTCTACTGCCTCGATGAGTTATATACAGTATATGATTTTTAAATTCTTCGCCCTGTAGCACTAAGAGGTCCTTCTAGCAAGCCTATTATGGGTTCGTCCGGACCCAAATGGGACAGGGCCAGAGAGATCCGGACGAACCACCACACTAAAATTTCCTGGGGTTTTTCGACCCGAATTCGATCCCCAGTCCCCAGATCTGTAGGCTGCCGCCAAACTGCTCGGCCATCCAGCCGTTCGATAAATTATATTATTGAAATAAGGTTATTTGAGTTCAATAAAAATTGACATTTGAATAATGTTTGTATTTTTATCTCATAATGCGGTAATTTAAGTAATATTTGAACTTATTAATAAATTTCATTTCTGCCTTGCTACCATATTACTTATTTTTAAAAAGTTTCTTGTTTTAATAATATAATGCGAAAAATGAACTTCAAATATATAAATAAAGTTTAAATTTTAGTTTTTTTTTTAGAATTAAAAAAAAAATGTATGTATGAAAAAGTTTCTAACTTCGACAGGTAGAGGGCGATTAGTATAATACAACATGTCGTACCTACAAACCGCGATAAGAACTCATAGGCAAAGAGTTTGTAGTTTATATAAACAAGCGTTAAGAACTGCCGATGATTGGTCTCATGATAAGTAAGCCTTTCTTTTTACTTATAAGTATATAAGCAATAATTTAAAATGTAATTATAGAAGTGTTTGTAGGAATGATTATCAAGGTGAAATAGATGAATAAATGTCCAAATTGTGTATTTTTAATCCTGTAAATCAATTTTTTTCAGAGTTATTTTACAAAGTGAATAAGTTAACAAGTTAAAATCATTGAAATACATATCCTAGCAGCCAGAGCTTGCAAAATACTAAAAATATGTTTCAAATTCAAATACTTGGTATAAGTTATTTGTTTATTAATAAAGAAGCATTCTATGATTTTTTTTATCCCAACAATATTTTGTGCCTTTTACTGTTGAATTTCGGTTATTATTTCTGTATTGAAAAGAATATTTTATCACCATCACTCCTTCCCCACAACAATCATGAGATACAAGAGCATCTGGACTAGCAAGCACCCTGAAAAGTGTAAATTTCATCAACACAAAGTCCACTATAACTACACTGGAAATTTAAATGGTCTGCTCCAGATAATGTATCCCTTTCTTTGTTTTACTTTCCCCTTTTACAGAAGAAATTTGCTACAAATTTTGACTATATGTAAGGCTGAGCACATTTTCAGCTAAATTTCTTTTTACAGATTCTTTTTTAGCCATATAGTCTTTATGAAATAAAGACTATAATGCTGTTAATCTTCCTTCCTGTTTGAAGCATGTTATGGAAGAACTTTGCTGTTTTGTTGCTATCTCAATTTCTGATATTTCCTCTCTAGAATAAATTATTGGTATTTGGTATCACACAAACACAAACTCTCTCTCTCTTTGCATTACATACCACTACCTTAAGAGAACATAATAATGAATGTGTAGAAGAAGGCATGATTCTTATTCCTGTGCTGCAATGTAGGGATACATAAGTTGAGAACCAGGATTATCAGAAAATTTCAAGTTCTTTGGCTGTTTAAAATTTATATTAGAAATGGGACCAAGAATACACTGAAATATAGTAAATAAATTATGAGAGGCTATATAAACCTGAAAGGTAAATCATTTTTTGTAAAACTAACATCTTTCTTTGATTGGATCCATTGACATAACTGAGAAGTACAGTACATGATATACTCTCTTGATGATATAGCCTCTACTGCAAATAGCGGTGCAACAGTAAAACTGTCTCTCTCTCCAATTCTGTAATAATAGAATAACATATTTAAAAAACAACTTATGCACTCATATGAAAGTTTTCTACTTGTGAAATGTATGTTCCATTTGTATTAAAAAACTGATATACCCAGTTATACATAAACATTTTCCAGCTAGAATTTGCCATCTTTTTCATGGGAACCAGCACTGTTTATTGACTTTAAATTAGAAATAAGAAAATAAATTAGACTATATTTTTATATTTGTTAAGTTTTGCTTTTAATTGCTATTTTTACATTATCCTGTATTAAATTAACTCCTATCTTTATTTTAAAATTATTTTTTATTTTTCAGACCATCATTTCGTCTTGCATCTGCTATGATAAGACAGCGATTTGAAGAAAGCAAAAATGAAACTGATGTTAGGAAGGCTAAACAATTACTTGAAGCAGGTGAAGAAGAAGTATTTCGAGCTCAACATTATCAACCTTATCAATGTATGAATTTTAAATATGGTTAAATTTTATATTCTGAAATTTATAAGAACTTTATTAATTAATAACAATACTCAACAGATGCTAATTCTCCTGGAGGTGTAGCACATGGACGAGAGGTGCCTTCTCCTGACTGGGTGATTAAATAATAGATTTATTACATTTTACTTGTTTGTTATTTAATTTTTATTGTAATGTTATAATTAGTAGAACAGTAATAAAATGAAACAATCACTACACAGTGAAATATCAGTATAACAAACTTGTGGAGACCATTGAAATATTTTCATTATACTGAAATTTTGTTATATTGATATACAGTCAAAAATGCAAGGATAAAAGCAGTTTATTCATAATAAAAGAATTGCTTACATTTTGAAGTAAATTGCATTTTTAAAAACTCTTTTATTTATAAGTATTTATATGGAACCAAATTTCACATTTTTAGAATGTAAGTTTTAATATAACTTACATTCTAAAAATGTGAAATTTGGTTCCAATATTAAATATAGAATAAAAATTTATAATCTAATAATAATAATCACGAGTGAACAACTAAAATAACAGTATAGTGGTACTGATACTGAGTGGTTCTGTAATTGTTATTTCTGCTTGAAGTTATTTTCTGCTAAAAAAAAAAAAAGTAATTTTTGTTTGTTGGGCTGCAATTTGAAAAAATTGTAGACCTGTAAATTCCCATTGTTGTCTGTCTGCCTGTCTGTCTTTCCTTAATCTGGAGAATGGAGTTACATAGATGAAAGCTGAGATGATATGGAAACTTAGGGGCAGGAGGCCCTGATATGAGAACTTCTGATGTAAACTGGAAGTCATGTTATTTCAGTTCAAATATTTCCTCCATGAGGTGTTAGATAGATGACTAGCATGACTCTATTGTTAAAGGAAAAATATTATGTACAGGGCCAAGCCACTACTAATTTGAGGTGGAGAGCATATATTTTAAATTAAATACATTAAAAATTGCCTGGCATTGTGACAAAGTCACAATGCTTGTATAATCAAAGTTTTCAATAAAATTCTGCACTGTAACAGAGAATTTCAGTAGGCTGTTAGGCACATGTTTTTGTTTGATTCCCTTTTACACATTATGTAATATTTTTTTATTCTCTTCCAAAAAAAAACTGCTTTTGTGTTTTCATTTTTCTCATAAACTTAAAAGAAATAAACTGTAGAGTAATAGCATCAAAACAAAACCATAACTAAGAATTAAAATTAGTGTTGCCAGACTGTTTGGCATAATATTAATCGTTTACTAAAAATGAATGATTTAGGCACTTAGAGATTTTGTTATAATGAAACTATCCTTTTATAATGGCCAGAATTTTTATTACGTTAAACTGAAATTTTCATTATAATGGTATTCATTAAATTGAAACATTTTCATGTTGGGATGAATATGAAACTGTCAGAGAATGCAAGATAAATTTGTTATACTGAAAATTTCATTAAAATGACGTTTGTTATACTGATTGTATACATATGCATTGTCTAATACTTCAGATACTATGTCAAGTAAGTCATCAATGAATAAAATTAACTATATTAAGTCAATGAACCATCAACTATTAAAAGTTTATGATAAAAATTTCTTGTTTCTAAATGATACTATTTTTCTAAAAGTTTGCTGCCATTATGCATATATGGTGACTGAACATACAGAACTGTTTTTACTGAGCAACTGCTAGTACTAAATAGTGATTATCAATACTTTTATGCTGTAAAAAATAAATAGAAGAAATTAAGTCTTTATATTTTGTCATATCCAATCACCGTGAACTGTCTTCTAGTCATTGGTGTGTTACAGCTTCATGTCACCCAGGCAGATTTGAATTAGGGGCCCCCATGTAGTGTTGACTTTAGACACTTTTCTTCAATAGAATTTTTTTGGGGAAATATTTCCTTGTAACGGATTGGTTTGGAACCCCAGGCAATTGATCTTTCTGCCCATAGGGTAACATGCCATTGCTTCCATTATAGAGATGGTGAACATGATGAAAGTGAAGACATTTTAGTTTCTTCTACATATTTTTTACTGTATAAATGTCATCAGCCATTTTAATTGAAACTTTTTATGCTATTTGCTGGTATTGGTGTATTGCTGCATATCAGCTGAACAATAGTTATAAATGTAATTATACTTAGAAATAAGACTAAAGTGTAACAAGATTTCATATACAGTAAGTCCTCAGTGCCATTTTTTTCATTTGTAATTCTTCAATTTATTGACTGTTGAACACAAGATTGTGTTATTAATTAAACACTTGGCTTTTTTCCATCTTTATTCAGTTGATACGGGTACTTCTACACGTTTCGGGCACTTAGCCCCTCATCAGTCAACATTAAACACACAATGTATGCAATGACACTTATACAGCACAAGTTTTCATTCTCCCAACTAGAAGGATAAGTTGACTGTATCAATGCTATAAAATCTACATACAGTACATCTAATTAAACAATAAAACACTATATAAATATACAAGCTTATATGGGTATAAAACAAAGATGTACTAAGTTTGATCTAGTGCTGTTTCTTACTGTTAAGTAGATGCAATATATCTTCCATTCTCGTATCAAAGTTGATGAATATATTGGCTGACTTCTTTCATTTTTTACTTTGGTACATCACAGAATCAGAGAAACTTCTTTTAACTTACTATAGTATATTTTATTTGTTTTCAGTTCATCACACAATATTGAGCTTGGTTGCTGTTTCTGTTAATTTGCATTTTCAACCATTTATGACAGTCGGAATTTACATAATTATTGGAATAGCCAAATAAATTATTTTAAAAAAAATTTTCTAAAAAATTGGTTAAAAATATTGTAAATGTAATTTTTACTTATTTTTACGCTTAAGTTTCTTATTTATACAATTTTTGGAGTTTATAATAGCCACACTTTCTTTGAATTTTCTATTATATGTATTCTTTTCTTTATATAAGATTTTTACATTAGTTTTATCTATATTACAATTATTTAGTAGGCAAAATTCTTTAATTTATTATTGTTGAATTTTTTTATAAACAGTAAAAGTGATTTCTTTGAAATGGGAAATAAATGCTAGAGGTTGCAAACATGATCCAATAAGAATAATGACAAACAAGTTATAATTCATTTATTAGTTAACCTGTATAGCAAAACAAACTGTACTGTAGTGTATTGTGAATGCAGTGTTATTTCGTTTTATTAAAAAATAATCTGGATCAAAAAAGATTTTTGGATAGCAACATTGAATAAATCTTTTGTTTTATTTTTTGTGTATTTTCTTATACTTAAATCTTATTCATTTTAAAATTATATAACAAAAATTTTATATAAATTTAGGTTATAGATTTCTGGCATCCATTAGAAAAGGCTCAATATCCAGAATATTTTGCTCGAAGAGAACAGAGAAAAAAAGAATATGTAGAAAGATGGGAAAAACAATTTGGTAAACCAGATAAAGCAGATTATCATTAAAAATTATAAATTAATAATAAATTTGAATACAAAATAATTAACACATATTCTTTATGAATTTAGAAATGGAAAGTTTAAATTCATTTTAAATGTATTTAGACATGTAATTAGATTATTGTAAAAATAAAAATGATTTTGATCTTTCAGTCTTTTGTCATAATTGAAATATTTATTACTGCAGTAAGTTGTAATTAACTCGATTGTCTTGGATCTCTAACAAAAGATACTGAAAGCACCCATCAATACATGAGCAACTACAGCTTGTCGGTGCCATATTATCCTAAAAACATTTCTAAGATCTTACCCAAACTCAAACCAAATTCCCAAAGTGGCATGCAGAAGCCTTAATTGTCTCAGCTAATGAAAACATTAATAAAACCTTTGTTTTTCTGAAAAAATATTCACCATCAAATAAAAATAATTGGTTGGCTGGTGCTTTTGTTAAATAAAAATTCCAACTTCTGATAAAATTATGGTTTTTGAATTTGTATATTGAAAAATAGAATATTTAATGACAAAAATTATGACAATACAGATACTTCTGTCTTAATTTTATAAGTTAAATAATATGAAAACTATAAAAAATAAATGATATTGTCAGTGAACATTTTCAAAATTGTGTACGTGTGCACATGATTGACTGACAAAGAAAAAAAATTGCTTTATCTTTTTACTGTTGTAAGTTACTACTTGTAAGTAAACTTTATTCAAAGACTAAATTTTTCAAAATTATAAATATCAGTTTAATTGCTTATATTGTAACTTATTTTCCAATTCAGATGGATAACTGAATAATAGATGATACTTAAATACAATTATTACTAGTTAAAAAGTGCTGTTTGTTAGATTATTCATAATTGTTGAGGAAATAATTTCTAATATTTTGATTCTTTAAGCATTACAAGTGTTTGATAATGATTAAAATTGAAAATATCAATCAGTAATTTGACATATTTCTGATGATTCTATGTTTATCAAATTTTGAATTATTTTTAAAAATATTTCTTGATTGAGTTTGATGCTTGAATAATTTGAAAATTATCCAAGTTAAGAAATTGTGTATTTACAAAGTATTTTTATAGCAATTTTCTAGTGTTACCCTAAAAAATAATTTTCTCTTCAGTTGCTAGACATTATCACTTGTCATCAAAGATCTATTTAACCAACTTGAATATAATAACATAAGTGGTTTCATAAATCTTGTATATTTTGTTTTGCCAACATTTTTTCTTATAATTAATCTGTAGAATTTTTCACTTCATTAATTATAATATATTCTTGTCAGTATCAATGTTTATTTTAATTTATTCTGAATTTTGAAAATTTTGTATCCATTTAGATAGTGTTTACACTACTTTACATTTATTTCGAATTTATACATTGGTAAATAGCAAATTAAATGATCAAAATAATGTAAATAATATAATTCAAAGGGANGGTCCAGAGCCTTTGTTGACTCGACAAAGTTTATAAGTGCGTTAAAGATCTTCTTATTTCTAACTAAGACGTTGTGGTCGCAAGGCCAGTTGTATCCCTCCTGTAACACTGTCCTGAGTAGATTCGTCCTATGTTGGGTGTATTGGTTGCAGTCGAATATGAGATGCTGTGCGTCTTGTTGCGAAGTCCCATTGCACTGACAATGTGGGGAGTTCCTGTGCCCAAATCTGTTTAGGTAGGTCAGGAAATTCTCGTGGTTGGTGAACAATTGAGTAGTTCTAAAGTTAATGCTGAGGTGTTGAAGCTGTAGTCGCTGTGCAATGTCTGGGAAGAAGCTGAAGGTTGTCCTTCCTGTCTCATCTTCTTCCCAGTTGCGCTGCCAAATGTTGATCATAGTGTTCCAGATGAGTTTCTTGGTTGCCACCAACGGAATGTCTTCGAAGGCAATGTCAGTAGTACTCGAGTAGACCTCTCTAGCAAGGCGATGGCGCGATTCAAGTATAGATTAGGATGTTTCAAATTTTTATAAGATATTATTATTTATTGTGAAATTTTGCCGCCCCCTAAAAAGTGCCGCCCGGGGCGGGCCGCCCCCACAACGGTACGCCACTGTGTGGCTGTCGTATTTAGCCCAAAACGTGTACGGCGAATGGTTGAGCGCCACCATCTGACAGTTCTGGACAGTCGATAATGGCATTTGCTACGTCTAGCAAGGCAAGTAGATGATCGGCTTTACCTTCTTCATTTGTTTGTATTTGTTGTTAAAATTATGATTTATTTTATTAAAATAATGATTATTTAAGAAGTTATGAATAATATTGTAAAGAAACAGATGATTTTAATCCAGAAATTATTTAATTATTCAATTTTTTAGTAAGTGATGTAGAATTTACATATATTTGCATTCATAATAGCTTATCTTAAGGTATGTTTGTTCTTCAATGGTATCTTCTACCATCAACAGCATAATACGTTTGTAAATTTTTTAAAAATTAATTTTCTGAGCTGTTTCGAATTTACATAAGTCACTACTTTCCTCAACAAAAGTAGTCCTATTGTATGAGGTAGTCCTATTGTACAGTAGGAAACACTACGCTAATTAAAAATAATTTAGTGTTATTAAACATGCTATAAATACTTTAAAATAGTTTAATTTGTTTATTTACCTTCGCTTGGGAAATTCGTTGTCAAATGGTTCTGCCATTTTTTCAACAAATTTCCCGTGAGTCAATGCGCGACATTCATTGAGTCACGTGATGTTGTGAACATCCACCACAATGATTTTTTATTGGAGTTAAAACGTAAACCATGTACTTCTGTTTGCCGTGTAGAAGTAATGTTTGAACTTCGGCCGCAACCTCTCTATTATCTAGAATCATGCTTTCAATTTATTTACTCTAATACTAAATTATTAATTTTAATCTAAAATACATATGTTAAATTGTGATATTTTTGTAATTTCTCTTAAATTTTCAAATTAATTGTCTTTAATATTTAATTAATGAACTTTATATATAAATATTATTAAAAACTTTTGATTCAGGTTCTCATGATTAAACGAGAATTATCAAAAGATGAAAAACTTAAAAATGAAAATTGGGAACGTTTTCTTCCAAAATTTAAATCAAAGAATATTAGTAAAAGAAAACAACCAAAAAAGAAACAAAAGAAAAAACCATATACGCCTTTCCCTCCTCCACAACCTGAAAGCAAGGTCAGTATTAATTTATGCTAGATAATTTATATTAGATAATTAGACAATAATTTTGCTGATTAAAATTTTAGGAACCAGTCTTGTGACACATTATTTTAATTTATGCTTTCACTAAAATAATAATTAGATTAAATTTTTAGGAAAGTATTTTACTTCTATTAGATTATTTTAAATTGCTAAGGAATAATGTTTTATTAAAGTATAAACATAAGAAAAAGTCAATTATGTATTATTTAATTGTATTTCTTATTAAGAAATTCTATTACTATAATTTTTTGCATATATCTAGCATAAACTTAATGGAAAATTGTTAGAACAAAAGTAAAAACTTTGCATGACCAATACCATGGAGAGTCACTCCTTTGAGACATAATATTTCCTTTTTACTTAAAAGCATAAGCTATGTATGCTAATAATGAAATGTTTAATATTAAATGAATTAAATTGTGATTGCTGGAGGAAATTAAATGATTTTTTATTACTGTAATATTTTTGTTTCAATATGAATCCTCTTCAGTATTTTGAACATCAGAATATTGAATACAAATTGGAGGATAGAATATTTTTGAAGCACCAGTTGGTGTACATGCACAATATGTACTGGAACAGATTTGAAAATATAACTAAAAATACAATATAAATGAAAAAAAACAAAAAGAATAAAATAAATCTATAAATGAAGATGTTTGTTTTTTTGCTACACTCTCCTAGGTCATTCAACCAATTGCTACAAAACTTGGCAGTTATGTAAACATACTTCTAACTTAGATAATGTCATACAAATCACTCCAAACAAAATACTGTTTGGATTTCTATACATCAATTAACTTCTGTCTACATTCAGTTGCTGGCTTTACATGTGACACAATCTACTGGCAAAAAAAATTTAAAAATAATAAAGTAAATATAATTCATATAAAATTATATAATTTAACGAGCAATTATTTTATTGTGACATTATCACAATGCCAACTGCAATTTTTAATCATATTTTTAATTTAAAATATATGTTCTCCACTTCAAATTAATAATTTCTTACTCCTGTATATCATACTTTTTCTGTTATCAATAGCTAGTCATCTATATAACTCCTTTCAGGGAAAAATTTTTGAATTGAAATAATGCAACTTCCGATTCTATAAACTTGTTATTTACGAGGACATACTTCCCACATAGTTTACAGGCATTCTGATAATGTTCTTAAAACAGGTTTTACCACATACATTTTTTAAATTTATAACACTGGATGTAACAATTATTGCAATAGGTACTTTGTAAGCCCTTTACTTAAAAATAACTTTAACACTTTATTATCACTTAAAAACAACTATTAAAAACAACAAGTTTTTATATAAAGTCTTTTGGACATTAAGGTTAGCAACTTCAATCACTTGCTGGGTTATCACAACCTATCCAACATGGATCCCTTTTCAAATATTAATAGTAGATTGTATTAATTAGTAGTCATTGACCATCCTCTCTTCCAGGAGGAGGTCAACAACTATATTTGGTCGAATAAGCTTGAATCATCTTCCTGAACAGTCCCTTCTGTCTATGGATAAGTGGTATGGTGGCATTTCAATAGGATAATTACATAATACAAAGTTACCAGTGAGCATAAAATACGTTTTAAGGGGTTTTTGAGGGTCCCAAGTTTAAATCTTAGGTCTGTTTTTTTTGCAAAATTTGGTTCATTGGCAGATATCCATTTGATATTCACCTGTGAATGGTAAAGTATGCCATAGTTAACATTAGAAAGAAACTATGGTATCTTAAAAAATTTAAGATATCATATTTTCAATTCCTGTCTGCTTGACCAATGAAATTGTGCCATTTTGTACCATCCACTTGGATGGTACAAAATGGTACACTTATGGTACAAAATGGTCCACTTGGATGGTACACTTATAAACATGACAATGGTAAGCTAAAATAACCAAACTCTTTATAAGGTTTTTGTTTTAATGTTTATTGTTCTTATATTTTGCCTGGGCAATGTCAGGCTTATCTGTTAGTTTAATATAGAGCTTTTGCTAAACTCTTGTTTGGAGATACATATTGTATTAAGTACAGTGAAGTGCAAGAATGACTGGGATACCTATCGAATATTTGGTAGGTCTGCCTCTGGATCATAGAATTACAGAAATACAAGGCATGGACTCCACAAGCTTTCTGATCTCTTGACAATGAACACCATGTCTCCTGATGACCAGTCCACAATTCTGTAATATAGGTGGCCCATCTCTGCTGTGAATTTAATAGTGCATGGCATCCCATATATGCTCAATAACATTCATATCTGTTGAACAAGGAGCCCAATTCATGATTGCAAACTTGGATGAATTAGTATTAGGAATAGTTCAATAAAACACAAGATTTGAATTTATTCATAAAAATTTATTTTGTTTCAAAGTACTTTCAAAGTAATCCTCTTCCACTACAATGCACTTATGTGAACATTTTTTACAATTTTCAAAACATGCTTCAAATAAATTCTTCATAAATTCAAACACCTCAAGTGTTTGAATTTATTACACTACATAGTGTTTAAGATTTAAATGCTTTAACGTCTTTTTTTTAAACCCCTTCAGAACTTATAGCAAATTTTATTTTATGGCATCAATCAGCTAAAAGCAGTTACCATGAAGTGGAAATTTTAGTCAAGGAAACAGGGAAAAGTCACAATGTCATATCAGATGAACATGGAGCATGTAGAATCATATTTGTTGAATTTTTGGCCAAAAATTCATGAACAAGAGCATTGTGAGCAGGTGCATTATTGTGGTGTGAAATCCATGCGTTTTCTCACCACAAATTGCTTCTTGCAAACATCACAAAATGCTCAAATAATATTTTTCATTGACTGTTTGGCTAGTTGGAAGGAATTTGTGATGCACAACACCACAACAATTGAAGAAAACAGTCGATACAGTATTGAGTTTTGACTGATTTTGACATCTTTTTGGTCTTGCTTCATCTTTCGAATGTCATTCACTCAATTATGAGCTGTTTCAGTGTCAAAAGTGTAGATCCATGTTTCATCACCTGTAATGATTTGTTTTAAGAATGATTCACCTTGAGAAAGCATTTCCATGGCCACTTGAACACATTGTTGTTTTTGGAAAAATTAGACATTTTTGGGATGACTCAAGAAGTGACATGCTGCAAACATAAGTCTAAAATTATTTGACAGGATCTAAATTATACTGGAACATGTTCAATACTGTCTGTGATTGTTAAACAATGATCACTGAGCACTAAATCACTGACTCAAGCAAAGTTGTTGTTCATCTGTTGAAATGGATGGTCTACCAGAGTGTAGTTCATCTTTGACACATTCTCTACCTTCCTTGAATATTTTGTACCACTTAAAAACTTGTTTTTATAGACTGTCATCACCAAATGCTTTTTGCAACATTTCCAATGTTTTTGTAGCATTAATTCCATTGTGAAAACAAAATTTAATGCGCATTCTTTGGTCAATTACACTCAACATTTTGAAAAATTGCCGGTGCAAAAATTTTTTACATCCAAAACAAGTGTGTGTTTGCAAACAAAACCAGATAATGACATACAGATTGCTGCTAGATGTCAAAGTCATATCAAATGATGACAGTGCCCTTTTGCAATTGTACAGTTTAAATGAACCATTTACAGTTCTTTTTGATCACAGTAATATATTAAATTTTTAAAAATTTTTTTCATTTGTATTGTATTGTATTAGTAATGTATTTTTAGTTATAATTTTCTAATCTGTCCCATCATGTATAGCACATGTACACTAATTGGTTTTTTAAAAATGTTCTAACTTTCAATTTCACTATTTTGATGTTTGAAATGCTGAAGATGACTTGTTATGTTACAGTAATAAAAAAATCATTTGTTTCCTCAGCTAGTAGTTGTGATTTTATTTATTTAATTATGGTGTCAAGTTCCAAGTTGGATATTTTAATATTTGCAAATTTTGACAAACCATCAAAAGAAATATTAAATAAAAAGGTTGTTGTAAGGTGCAAAGTAACATGTCCAAGGTATGGGATATAAACACACATTCACTCCCTATTAGCCTAATTAACCAATAAGGCTTTGAAGACTAATCCTGATTGTGTTGTATTTGCTTACATTATCGTCAGCTTTTCTAATTGTGACTGTAATAAACTATTCCTTATCTACAGATGTTGAGTGGAAGGAAGTAGGTACACTCTGCATATTAAAGTGCTGATGGTTGCACCTTAAGGTGCTGGGAATAATTACAGTGCAAATTAAATTTGTGATAAACTCCAAAGGTAAGTTCTGTATATGATCTAAATATATGGAGATCCAAAAAGACTGAATGCACTGACTGACTTTCCCAGACTGAATGCACTTTATTTCTTCCGAAAAGCTTATTGTTTGAACATGTTTGATGATGCGGATTAATCCTTCTCTTAATTCCTTGGTTGTAAGATGCCCATAGATTCTATAAGGAGGTGATAATTTTGTATTTGTCATAAATCTTAGGCACCAAGCCTTGGTTTGTTGAAGTTTTACAAATGATGATATTTTAGAAATGACAGGCAGCTCTTCTATGCTTGTGCAAACACTACAAGTAGCATGTTTACACTCCTCCCTTAATGCATCACAAATAGGTATATTCTTGGTGAATGGGCTGTCATTGGATATCAGCCATTCTGGACCATTCCACCATAAGTCACATCTGAAAGTATATTCTCTGGGATGCCACTCTAGACATAAAATCTTTATCATTTTAGTTCCACTAGTTGTATGAGACATGTCACCTAACGAACCGCTATGCACATCCTTTAATATAGATGGTTCACTTGTGAACCATTCGTTGAGCTCAAATCCACCTCTACCTAATAATTGAATTAATTCATTAATCAGTTCCTTACCCATTTCAGAGTTGTTTACACCAGTCAACATGTCATCCACAGAAATTTCGCAATACTATTTTTGAGGCTCTCGGAAACTCTACACTCTCATCAATCGCTAACTGCTTCAAAGCTCTCGTAGCCAAATATGGGGCTAATGTTGTTCCATAAGTGACATTGTTAAGATGAAAAGTTTGTATTGGCATTTCTGAACTCTCTCTCCAAACTATTCGTTGAAAGTCACAATCCTGAGGTCTAACTTTCACCTGTTGATACATCTGCTTGATATCAGATGTTATTGCAATATTGTGACAATGAAATGTTAAAAGAATACTTATAAAATCTTCCTGGATTTTTGGACCAATCATTAAGGTATCATTAAGTGAAGTACCTGATGAAGATTTTGTGCTGCCATCAAATACTACTATCAACTTGGTCATTAAACTTGATTCCTTTATTATATAATAATGAGGGATAGAATAATGTTGATTTTCTAAGTCTCTACAATTAGGTGAGATTATCTCCATGTGTCCTAATGACAAATATTCCTGCATAAATTGTCGGTACTGATTATAGATATCTGGCATTGTTGCGAGTCTCCTTTCTAAACTGTAAAGTCTTCTAAGGGCAGCAACACGAGCATTTCCTAATGCCTTTCTATCGGGTTTAAAGGGTAACGCAACATAATATTGTCCGTGATCATCTCTCCAAACATTTTTCTCGAACTGAATTTCACACAACTTTTCCTCAGTACTTAATAATTGAGATGAGGGAATATTTTCAAGTTCCCAAAATGATCTCACTAACTCATCCGTACTTATACACGAATAATTCACCACAACTCTGTTGGGCTCATGGGATTCAAAGGTCACCTTGCCTGAGATAATCCAACCCAATTTAGAACTCAATGCAAATGGACAGCCCAAACCATGTTTAATTAAATTTTCATTGATTAACGACAGAAATACATTCATGCCAAACAGGATATCTATATTCCTTGAAATGTATCTGCCAAAATAAGATCATCAAAATCAGTGCAAATCTCTGAAGGTAATGAAACATATGGAAGCCTTTCTGTGACTCTTTCTATTACAAAGGCAGAAGTAGACGCATGCAATTCACTTTTAAAATGTGAAGTGAATATCAATTCAACCTTTCCATTGCTCATAGTGGTAAATGCGCGTAGACATGAAACCAAAATTGTACTGTCCCTTACATTTAATCCTAATTTTGTCACACACTCTTTAGAAATAAATGATTTCTGACTTCCTGAGTCTAATAAACATTGACAATCTACCCATTCATTGTTGAATTTAAAACCTTAATTTGAGCAGTACATAATAGAACTTGGTTGTTTACAGTCTTTCTTGACCCTCCTTCACAATATGAGGCACAAATTGACTTACAAATTGTCTCTTTCGTCATCTCAGGAATAGCTAGACTTGAATTCATGGATGGAAAACTGGTTTGTGAATTTGACTCGGACCTTAGAGATGGAATTTCTTTCCCTTCCATAACATGAGAGTGAGTTGTGTCTTCTCTTGCAGTTTAAACAAGAAACATTGACAGTGCAATTTCTCACTCTGTGATTTTTCAACAAACAATTAAAACACAAACCTTCCCTTTTTGCTAATTCTATTCTGTCCTGTACCTTAAGCTTCTGAAATTTAGCACATTTGTATAAAGCATGGTATCTCTTACAGCATGCACATCGTCCCTTCATTTGAGACGAGCGAGATGTAACCTTAGGCATGAATCTTTTATTAGTCTGAGTTTTGGTTGGCTGTAGAGTTTTAACATGACCCTTCAAAAATTCTAATAAGTCATTTAATGGAGGAATATCATCACCCTTAAGTGAGCGCTCCCACCAGCCTCTGGTTGTTGAATCCAATTTAAATTGAATGATGAACACAAATAATATGCTCGAGAACTCATCTGTATTAAAACTTAGAGCTTCTAAGGATCGAATACACTCTGTAGTTGAGTCAACAATATTTAAAATCTGTGCCACAATTTCATAATTTAATGTTGGCAAACTCAATATCTTCTTAATTAATGAAGCTACCAATTCTCTTTTCCGAAAATATCATTGGGAAAGTAGTTCCCTTGCAATTTCGAAATTTCGATCACAAATGGATAGGGACTGTATAATTTTTAAAGCTTCTCCTTTTAATGAACACTTTAAATACTGTAGTTTTTGAGCATCTGACAATTTTCCATTGTTTGTAATAGCTGCTTGGAACAGGTCACTAAATGGCAGCCATTCCTCAAAACTACCACTAAATGAGGGAAATGTCAATTTAGGTAATTTTAAATCTGACATTTCACTAGCTTTATCAACGTTGGAGATACTATTACTAATTTCCAATTTTAGATTTGTTCTATCTATCACTAATATCAACTCATCAATCGAATCTTGTGCTATTTGACTTTCCTCAATGTATTGTTCTATTTCGTCCTCCTTACAAATATCAAACAGTCTATCAAAGACTTCCTTTAATTAATTAGCAATTGCACCCAATTTTGAACAGTAAAGATCAAGTTGCACACCATCTGAATTGTCAACATTCCCTAGAATTTTCTCTCTTATTCTAATAAGACTACTCTTGACAACTCTCTTTTTTATATACAATGTTTTTAGATCCATTTTTAATAAACTAGAAATATCATACCTGAACAACTAAAGCAAAAGATCCTTTAACTAAAGCAATAGTCCAACGTCCAACTCTTGAAGTAGATCTTCACTCCAACTGAAAGGTCGTCTCTATCCAATTTACTCCACTGCACTCAACACTATCTTTATCCCATCCGCTCTATCCACGCCATCTGCACTGCACTCAACATTACCACCATCTGCCTCTGCACTCAACTTTACCACCATCCGCCTCGACGGACTAGAAAATGTTGTATAAAAATGATGTTGTGATGATGGTGGTGTAAAATGTTCCCGTTTACACGATCTAAAAGAACACAGTACACACTTCCTTTCTAACAATAACAACACAATTACACTTTAATGTCTCAATTGAGCAAGTGACACTCTGGCACTCCACAATCAAGCAACATTCTGGCACCCGACAATTATTTGATAATTACAATACTGGTTCCTGACCAGCCACACAGCTACCCACTCTGGTTAGCTCCCCGGTCAGTACACAACACTGACTCGACCCACCCAAAAGGGAAGCGCACAAATTTTCCCTCTCTAGGTGGGACAATCTCCCCTGCATTCTTAGGGATACTATTACCTCACCCACCTGACATGTGTGACAAAGCTATGGACTGTCCATCAACACTTGCTGACATCCACACACCTGACGCATGTTACAATTGAACTTAACAGAAGCAATTATTTTAGTTTTTAGGTGCAATGCCTCTTGGACTGCTAAGACCTGTTACACCACAAAAAAGCTTTGTTGAGAAGCTGGGCATTTGCTGTGTTCAAAACAGTAATGCTAACAAATACCCAGCTCAAAAGTTGCTTGTTCTCCTGCCAGTCTTGTGGCAATTCTGGGCTGTTGTTTGCATTCAGATGCACAGGTTATTTTTTTTTCTTAAACCTTGTGCATCATGATGACATAATACCCCCAGTAGAATTTGATAGTGGAAGAAAATTAAAAAATAATAATAATTAAAATTATAAGTACCAGTACAGTACCTTTAAAATCATCCTGTTTCATTCTCTCTGACATTTTTGGCCTTTGTGCAAATTGAAATAGCAAAACTCTTCATCTTTTATTTACCTGGCTATTCACCCTAAATGGTAAATTTGCTTCTAAAAGTGGGCAGAAACATTTGTAACTTCTTTTTGTGCATTTGAAATGTGGCATCCTCTTTAATTTGTGTTTTTCTTTGAGCCATTGCCTAACATTTTTTTCATCTATTTCAAATACATGACCAGCAGCTCAATTGCTATTACTTTAGGCATATTTGCTACTATTAGTTTGAATTCATTTTTGTAGTTTTTACATTTAATCATGATTGATCATCAGCAGTAGTAGATGCACCACTTGCATTAGATATCTCTATAGCATTAGATATCTCTATAGCAAGAGTAGTAGTAATAGTAGTACAGTAGAACCTCGAAAACTCGGCCTAATGTGGACCGAAGGGTGGCCGAGTTTGTGAAAATGCCGGGTTATCGGGAATGGGGTTAAAAAAGGATAAGTATGCGTGTTTCCTCAGAAAATACTGTACTGTACTTGTATGTATTGTTTGCTTGAGAATACAACAAAGAATAAACTGCCCAAATACCCTTAAACAAAGGAAAAGTACGTACTTTATGAAGGCATAGCCTTTACTACATGAAAATGAGCCTTTACTACATGAAAATGAAAATTAATGAATACACTGTGTACAGTAATTTACCTGATAAGACAGACTTCAGAAAAATACTTTATGAGAGCTTTTATACTTTTATAAAGCTGTCTATAATGAAACTTAATTAACTAAGGATTTTTTTGCCCTGCCAGGATGTGGCCGAGTTATCCGGAGTGCCGGGTTATCGAGAGCCGAGTTTTCGAGGTTCTACTGTACTACTATCTACAGAGTGTTTTGTAAATGATATGAAATTTTTCACACATAAGTCGCATCTTTGTATAAACCACTATCTACCTTTTCCAATGTAAAAAAAACATGTAAGCCATGACTTGCTTATGCTCCAAAAATTATAGTATATTTTGCATTTCAGATAATATCCGTTATTGTCATATATTCCACAACATGAAATACAATAGAACAGATTTAGGATAAAAGCACTCTATCATATCATAAATGTTTTCAATCTTCCTGTGAATAAGCAAGCTCTAACTTTGCAAATACCAAAACCCAAACTTGCAAAAAGCATATATATAAAGTTAGTGCTGTATATTTTATATAACAAACAACATGATCTATTATTAACCCAATGAAAAATAACATTTTATCATTCTAAACCTCAGGTGTTTTCTGAATTGTTTTAATTGTGAACAATATTGTTTTTGTTTTTGAACAATATTATTTGAGAAATATTCAAATAATCAAAAAATTATGATTTCTTTCAAACTTATTAATGGGAAAAGAAAAGAATTTGTATTAATGAACATGGAAAAATATAACAAGTATAATATATTAATTAAATTAATAATGTAGTTAANCACGATTATTATTTAAAAAGTTTACGTTAGGCTTAACACTGACGAAAATTCAACGCAAAGCGACACACAATGGAGAAAAATTTCAACACGAAATAAGTTAATATATTTTTTCGTACATAATCGGTTATCTGAAAAATAAGTTATCCGAACAACCCCAGTTCCCATTGATTCGGATAAACGATGCTCTAGTGTATTTTAGTTTTAATTAACTGGCTACCTAGTATAAATAAATATTAATTATTATTAAACAGCATCAATGTAAAGATCAAAATAAAATGAACAGATTATTTACAAAAATAATAAGTTGGATGAAATTAGCTTAGAAAGTACATAAAGTCAATTCAATCCAATTGAATTGACTTTATTATGTGACAACATTATGTGAATGAGCTTCCACATAATGTTGATAATTTTGGAAAAAAAAGACGACACAGTTTTACTTTTTTAAGGTTATCAATTATTTTGAGCAATCAAAATATCTGAACTTAAATTCCTTTTTTAAATTTTAAAATGAACAAAATTTATCATTGCATTGATTTTGAAACCAAAAAGATAATGAAAAATACACTTACAGTTATTTTGGTAATATAAATTTAAAAAAATATTCATAATTGGATTTACTAATAGCAATTATGTTTTCTAGCAACAAAAGTATTAACTTTATTCAAGAAATTTGAATATACAGATAATTTTTGTAGAAAGAAAAATCAATGTATCTTAATATAGAAAGTGATTAAGTTATATATAAATAAAAACTTAAATGTATTATAAATATTTAACAGGAACATTAAAAATATATAAGTGAATGTGATGTACAGTACCAGTGCATTTTAAATATTTTCTTGACATAATTTGTAGGTATTATAATTCTTGAAACATGTTTCAAAAATTTACTAAAGTGAAGCAACCAGTGAAATATACAAACAAACCATAGTCCAATTATATTATGTAATTTAATTATCTAATTAATAACTAGTAAAGGTTATGCATCTCTGCAGACAATCAAGTGAAAAAGAATGACAATTAGTTGCATTTAAAAATTATTATTTATATATATACAGAAATAATTTACTTAATTATTGTACTTTTGCTATTAAATTAAGCAAAATTTATTATTTTTACAAATATTAGCATGCTTTATTATTCCAAGAGATGTACTCTTTTTTGTAAATAAGAATGTTTTTAATGTATATTTTTATTAGGATTTTATTATTATAGATTATTTATTTTATTTAAATTATATTTTATTTGTGGTAATCTGTTTTAAATAAATTTTGTTTATTGAAAGATTCATATTTTTAAAACAAATGATAAAAATATTATTATTATTTATTTATTTATACTCTTTTCATTTATTAAGAGATTATTTGATATGAATTTATAATATATAATTTAATTAATGTTTATTTCATTTATTTATTTTGAAATGATTAGGAAAATCAAATTAAGGCTGATGTCATTAGGCAAGAAAAAAGAAATAAAGCATTTATTCCTCCAGAAGAACCAATTCAAGATAGAAAAGAAGTAAAAGGTAATAATTAATACATTAATTAATTAATTATTTTATAAAAGTAAAAATCTGAAATAATAGCTAAATGAAAATTTTGACAAAAATTATACCTAGTTGTTATATCAGATTTTTCATTATAGAAGAAATTTCTGATATCCCACTTTTTTTTACTGCTTTATTTGTAATAATATAATTATTCTCTTGCTCCTCTTCTCAACCCAAGGGATGGTGACAGCATCAAGTCCACCACTCATTTCTGTTTAGTGCCAGTTACTTAATCTTACTGTAATGTGATCGGCCTTTCACTATATCTCAGTACTCTATTCTTGGTCATCTTCCTATTGCTTTTTTTCTTCATAATTTCCTCAAATAATACATCCTCTATTCTGAATGTCTTAATAATTGTCCTATTATGTTGCTTATTTGTTTATTTTAAGTGTTAAGATGCTTCTGGTTCTCTTGCTCTCTGTAAAACTTGCTTGTTAGACAATGTTTTAGTCCATAAAGGCCTATAGTTTTGTTTTCTCTTTTTTTCTCAACATTCATGTTTTAGAATAACACAAAATCACTTCCTAAATATAACTTTTAATGAGATTTTTTTACTTCCACAGAAATGTTTTATGATGCTAACATTCCTTTCATTCTGTTGAATGCTTTATTTTCCTGTGCAATTTTCAATGTCATATCTTTTTCACACCTTTCATCAGATGTTATGAGGCTTCCCAGCTAACAGAAATTCTCCACACTATCTAATTTTTTCCTCTCCAGTATTATTTTGGTATGTTTTTTGTTTCATTTTGAACAAATCATTGTTTTTATTTTCATGTGATTTATTTTCAAGTTGAATGTGGCCTTTAGTGCATCATTAATGCCTCCTCTGGTTGCAAAATTTAACTCTTGTTTACATTTTGCAACCAGAGCTATGTCATCTGCAAAACATATTTTGTTGAAGATTTTACCATTTATCTTTATACCATTATGGTCAGTTTCCCTATTTTCCTTCATAGCTACGTGAATACTGAATAAAATAGATGATAGTTCACAAAATGTCCAGCCATATATGAGTCTTTTCAAAATTCTTGCTTTTCTCTTACCTTTCCCTATTAACGCTACTTTGTCTTTGTACAGTTAATATACAGTAGTACCTTGTATTTTGAATGCTTCAGCATTTGAACACTAAATTTGACAAAAATTCATCTTTGAGTTTGAACAATGCGTCAAAGTTTAAATTGCATGTACAGTTCATGAAAAAACATGCTTGAAGTGTAAACACGATCTGTTTTGCAGCCAAGTCACTTCTCACTCTAGCATTATGCTAATATGTTTTCAGAGGGGGTTTTTTTTTTGGTTTTGATATTTTTGGTTATATATATTGTGTGTTATTGACAATTTTTAACAATTTCTTACTGCAATTTTTCTTTGTAAACAGCTTTTGGGCATCCCATACATTTTGTATCCTTTAGTTCAAAAATTTCTAAAGAAAACTTTTTAAACCACGTTTGACATGTTTGAAGTTTAGGAGCACCTTCTCCATACAAACTAAAATTTTTATATTATTATTATTGTTGTTTGTATGGCATTATATCCCGAACTCATGTAGCAGGATATGTCTGATATGCTTTTTATCTGAAGACATAACATCTTGATTTTATTCAAACAAAATATTAAGTATAAAGTTTAAAATAAATTTATAAACAAAGAACACAATATCAGATTAGCAATAATATGTTAAATTTCACAACTGTTACAATTAAATGACATATCTATATTAAGTAACCACTGCTGTTAAAAATATTCAAAAATTTTCTGTTTCATCCAATGTAACCTTTGCTTATCTACCATGGCATCTGAGAAGTGTGTAAAAGCAACTAAGCCTAAGAGGAAGGTTGTAATACGGACAACTGACAAGAAAAATAAACTTATTTATGGTACACATGTTGGATCTGCAGCCTTGCTTAAAATGCCAAAGTCAATGGTTTGCAACCAGTTAATGCAATTTTTATATTATTATATTGTATATTTTTTATATTTATGTATTTTATTTATTGTTTTTTTTTCTTAATTTATTATTGGGTCATTTAATTGTCTTATATTTTCCTTAAATTATGTGTATTTACTACAGTAGATCCCCCTATAAAACCGTTTCCTATAGTTATGATTCCTATAAAAATTGTGGCATTATCCGTAAACAACGGTAAAAATAACTCCTATAATACGTAAAACGTCATCGGGCAGCCGAACTACTTACCCGCCGTCCGTAGCGCCACGCTACGGAGGTTTAGGCGGATAAATTGAGTTTAGTATCGTCTGTTCATATAATTATATATAAATTAGGTACTGTACATATAATTATATATTAATTATATATAAATTAGGTACTGTATATATAATTATATATTAACTTAATTTATTGTAACTTTATTATAATTAAATATATATTTTTCGCCGTCTAGCGTCACGCTACGGCGAGTTAGGCGACCTATCGTCTGTCCAGTACTGTAATTTTATACATTTCTTGTGAAAGAAACATTTCTTATTTAACGGCCATAAAAATTATTTATATTAAGGATGTCTCCAAAGGTCAACGAAGTTTTCGCAGAAAAATAATATCAGAAATCGCGGCCGCGGTTTGATGCGCTGTTCCGCGACGAAACCAAGCTTTAGCAACGGGCGTAGTCGAACGGTACACACTCGGTAAGCAATCCTACAATTTTTTGTTTATAACGTAGTTTATACGGATTATTTTCAAAAAAATATACGTATTTTGGAAATGTTGAGTCGAATTAGTCTAGAATCGATTAATTTTATGAAAGAAAACCTTTCAAACAGCCGTAGTCCGTAAACTATGATTCCTACAAAATTGATTCATAAAGAACGGAACGTATCTACCGTCTTATAGGGGGATCTACTGTATTTTAAGTTTATCCAAATGGGTATTGTTTAGGGTCTGAATGAATTAATTCATTTTCCATTATTTCTAATGGGAAAAATTGATTCAGATTTCAAATATCCTCCTGGAATGAATTAAATTCAAAGTATGAGACTCCACTGTATAATTCTTCTGTCCCTATAGTTAATTCTAAACTCCTTTAGGATATTCAACATTATTGTCCAATCTTTTTCCATATTGATAAAAGCAATGGATACTGGCATATCTGCTCTTATTGATTTTTCTAAGATCTTAAAATAACCTCTCTTATGCCTTTGTTTTTTATAGTCCTCAGAGATATTGTCATTGATAATATATAATTATTTATCCAGTAAATATTGATAGTTTATTACAAATGATTGTAATAATTTTTTTATATAAATTTATAATAATATAAAATAATTANTAAAAAAAAAAAAAAACTAAAACTATCGAGCATAATATTTTAATACAATGACAATGTGATATATCATATTATTTGGGACCTTGTTACAATTCATTTTACAAATTATAACAAGGTTTTACAAATTGTTTTAGTTTTTTTTTAGTATATGGGTTACATTAAAAATTGTGAATACAGTGCACTGTATATATTATATATTCCTTTGTATTGGTTAACTAGTGGTGTTATAATTGTTATGTTGTTGCCATGTGTTTGTAAGCTGATGAGGGGTTCTTGTACCCGAAATGCATCCTTATCTAAATTTGAAATGTGATTATTAAAGACTAACTTTATTGTAAAAGTTCTGGTCCTTCTTTCTATCAGCCTTGGTGTGATAAGCCCTCCAAATTGTTAAATCCTATTTTTTAGGTTATCTAATTCTATCTAATTTAAGTTTAGCGTGCTAGTAATTTTCAAATTTTATGAAAGTATAGTATTTTCTTCACTAAAAAATTTCATTTTTAATTTTGCATTGTACAAAAGTGTTTCAATAAGTAATACCTTTTATTTTTTTAAACAAACATTTTAATGTATATGCAAAAACGTGAATATAGTAAATGAAGTTTGAATTTCTGGCAACACTATTGCACAATAAGAACACTTGTGACTTGTGTTGCCTGTTGGACATTTCTGACAAATGGGAAGAAAAGAGCAGCACAGTGTTCTTTGTTTTCTATAGGCAGGGGGCAAGAAATGTGAACAAATTCATGCGGAAATGCTGAACATGTATGCTGATGATTTCATGGACGATTCAAATGTCCATCGATTGTGAGAAATGATTAAAAATGGTTGTCAGTGTGTGATTGATAATGTGAGCATTGGGATTTATAGGTTAATTACCAGGTTGTTCAATAAGTTTTGTCGTTTGATAAGAGATGGCGTTATTAGGATCATCACTTTATTTCTCTAAAAATAGTACTACTATTTCATAAGCACATGTCAAGTTTCAAGTAGATCTGTCAACTCGTTTGTATATTTGCATCTGTTCAAAGTGGACATGTCACTATATTTTTTTACAATGGAAAAAATTGAATATAGTGCAGTGATAAAATTCTTATTTTTTGGAAGATGTAGCACCAAAACAAATTCATGAACGATTGTTAAAAGTGTATAAGGACTCTTTCCCTTCAATTAGAACAGTAGAAAGTCGGGTTAAACGTGGTCATACAAGTTGTGAAGGACATCCAAAAAGTGCATCAACACTAGAAATTGTAGCAAAAATACAGCATATGGTTTTGGAAGATCGTCGATTAACCAAGAGAGATTTAATAGAAGCCCTAGGGATCTTGTTAGGCAGTGTGAGCAGTATTTTGACTGAGGTTTTGGGTTACAGAAACCTGTGTGCACAATGGGTGCTGCATTCGCTAACTATAGAACAAAAACACATTGAAATGCAACTTTCTCAGCAACATTTGGAGCATTTTAGAAAGGATAAAAAGGATTTTGTGCATTGTTTCATCACTATAGATGAGACTTGAGTCTGCCACCATGATCCTGAATCAAAACAAGAGGCTAAGGAGTGGTGTGAACCCGGTACTTTAGCTCCGAAGCGAGATAGGGTCCAGAAATCGGCCAAGAAGCTGTTAATATCAGTTTTTTGAGATGCAAAAAGAATTTTGTTTGTGAACTTTTAAACTGGTAAAACAATAA